ATCTGCCCAACCTCCTGGGCCTCTTTTTATGGTAAATACATAACAAAATAGTCAAATTCAGTTTCATAAAATTTTGTGTTTAGTTCAACTTTTTTAAAAAGCTTAATTAGTTCAAAACTAACTAAAATTAGTTTACTAAGATATCAAAAATTAAAATAATATATATATATATATATCTTATTTAATTTGATTTATGAATTTTTAATTATAACATTTTATTGTATACTGCAAGTAGTTTTTTTTAAAGTGTTGTATTTTTAATGATTAACTCTTTAATTGATTTAACATTATGTATGTCAAAGAATTAAAATATTGTGGTCAAAAATTTGGATATTTAAAATTATAAATGTATGAAATTGTTTTTTTTTAATTAGCATCAAACAAACAATAATATATAATTATACTAATTATTAATATAATAATATTTTAATATATTTATTATAATATATAATCTGTACCGTTTTTTTCTTGTTTTGCCATTCACACATTTAGTTGTGTACCGCAAATAGTTTTTTCACCAGTCAAACATTAATTTGGACCGCTTATTTTATAAAAACCGCACTTGTCCCGCAAATACAATTCTCCCGTACGTACCGCAGTTGAACCGTACCGCACTATAAAATCGCTTTTCCCGCACAATCAAATACGCTGTTACCATTCGGACCCATAACCTCGTGCCTCAAATGATATAGTATACATAAATTAACCATTTAATCATGAAGTGAACAAAAACTTGGGAAATTAAACGATATTTTGAAACCAAATTTTGTTTAATGCTCTGCTTAATTAGAAACTAAATTTTGCTTAATGCTTTGCTTAAATTAACCATTTAATCATGAAGTGATCAAAAACTTGTGAAATTAAACGATATTTTGAAAATTGAGGTTTTAAACATACACAATTTTATAGTTGAAGTTTTTTTTTTACATTTTTTTTCATTGTTTTTATGTGGTATTATTTTGTATTCTAAAATTTAGAAAACATATAAATTATTTTAACACAAGTTACTTTTTGTCATGCCCTTTTTCTTTTCTTTTTTTTTCATATAATTAAGCGATGTTTTTGTATTTTTAAATTTAGAAAAAGAAATTATTTTATCACAAGTTGTTTACATAATTAAATCTCGAATCGGAATTTTTATGTGTATTTATATTCATATATTTCTGGTGTTTGGATCATCTTTTTATGTCCAACCGATAGGTGATGTTTAAGCTCTCTCTCTCTCTTTTCTTTTGCCTCAATAAATAAGAGTAATCAAATTAGCAAATTGCTTAATGCTCTGCTTAATTAGAAACCAAATTTTGTTTCCATTGATTTTGTGTTCTCGCAAGAATTTGAAAAAACTCTCCGTTGTTTCTATTTTTCAACAGTCTGTAAACTAACAGTTCAAACTCAATTGTAAACTAACACACTACAAGAAAATTGGATATTAATAACATCATAAAAACGCTATATAAAGATACGATAGCATTATAGAAAGCGCTCTGACATCGCCCGCGATAATAGGTCAGCCACTTTAGAAGGCACTTTTTCGTGTTGCTATCGTTTTACAGTGAAAATAGCGCTTTGTTATATGCAATTGTTATTTATACAAAAGCATTTTTATTTTATTGTAAACTATTTGTGG